TCTAGCAAGTTTTAATAGATATAAATCACATAAATACTGAGTCGGTAAGGAATCGTGCCTTACACATGGAACTTGGGTTATATAAACAATGGTAAAATCCGTAAAGGGTTATATAAACAGTGGTAAAATCCGCAAATCATTAACCCTCAAATTATCAGCTTGTTTTTATGCCGCTCAGTACCGGCGGGGTCCACATATTAAATCACACTGAAAGTATAAAAACGATAATAATACACTGTGTCAAAATAACAACCTTCCACAGCAATCACTCAATTATGGGCTTCAGTAGTTTATTCTTGTTATACCTCACGGAGGCTAACCTGTTTATACTTAATAAAAAAGATAGTACGGTAAAGCTTTGGCTAGCCATTTTATGTATAATAGAAACGATTGCTATATTTTCTATACAGGAGACTACCCTCACAGGAAAACAAAAATCAAGATTCTGAATGTTTGATAAAAGAAGAAATTCTACTTAACCAAAAGTTTTATCGTCGCTCTAGAGTATTCGTATTCTTACGTTGGCCTCTTCTCTAGTGTAAAGGGCTATCAATTCACTAGTTTTCAAAACGTCATTTCCTAATCCATTAAAAGTGCTTCCATTGCAGTGGCGGTATTGTAAGAACTGTATAGAACGTGGAAGCAGGATGTCTCCATTAAAGCTGCACTCAACTAGTCTTCTCTACTTACACCAAACTCTTGACTTACTAATGTCAGTTTGTGGCGAGAAAGAGCAGTGGTTTCCAAAAGATCGATATACGAACCACCGACAATGATGGTTCATTTATTAAATCCCGGCCTGGCTTTTCACGCTCTATCAACTTCTGTCATCCAAAGCATTACGGAGGATTAAGGTTTGGAAAATTGTATATTTACTTGATTTCTGGGTCGGACGTAAAATATTACACTATATCTACAAAGTTAAGATATGAGTGGTGGAAGTTAAAAGGTCCTTAAGATTACAATGAGGTAGAAACTGGTTTTTTATTGAATTGTGAAACACGTATATAGCGTATATCATCCTTATTCTCTGATATACTTCAGGATAAACGTTGGAATCAAAATTAAAAATAGTGTAGAATTCTTGCTGATTTGCATAAAATACTTATTCTTCTTGAAAATGCATGCAATTACGTTCCATGATGTTTAATTGGTATTAATATTGCGTTCCATGATGCTTAATCGGTATTAATAATACGTTTCATGATGATTAATTGGTATTAATTTTACGTTTCATGATATTTGTTGGTACTAAAATTACGTTCTATAGTATTTATTGGTATTAAATACAGTTGCCAATATATATATTTATATATCCTTAACACGATAAGACTTTCATGCTTAACTTCGTCGGACGACTGTCACCTAGTGGTTAACGTGCTTGAACTGTGAATCCGGGGTTCATGATTCGTGGTCCTTACCGACAAATTGTGTTACGAGCCTTGGGAGCGTGAGGGCTTTAGGAGAGTAAGATTTGTCTATCATTAGAGCAAAATCACATGGGCTATCTGCTGTGTCCACCGTGGAGAAGCGAACCACATATTTTAGCGTTGTAAGTCCGTAAACTTAACATTGATCCACAGGGGGACGAGATGGACAGTAAATCTCACTGTTCGATTAGAGTATCCTAAGAGTTAGCGGTGGGTGCTGTTGACTAGTTGCCTTTTAATTAGTTTGTTAGTTCAAAATTAGGTACGGCTAGCGTAGATATCTGAAAGAAACCTAAAGGTAACTTGTTCATGCTATAACGGCTTTATTACTACAAATTTAACAGAAAGACGCCAAGAAGATAAACGTAAATACCATAGTAATTAACTTTTTTTTCGAATTCCGTACCATTATGATTAAAATATTTGTTTTCATACGGGAAGTTTAAAATTATCAACTAAAATAAACTAATAAAAGTATAATATATCCGAGATATATACTCATTAATATAAAAAAATAAAAAGTGCCATCACAGTTGACTTACACTAAAATACTGCTAATAATAGTGGAGATTTACACACACAAAAATTAACATTTAATTTTAACCTGCACTAAGCTGTCCTTCGACCGTTAAATTGTGTATTTTTTTTTTCTAAACAGCGTCTTTTACTTGTTTTATCACCAATCTGTACGGTAAATAATCCGCGATGTGTTCGTCCCATGGGATCAAACCCCAAATTCCAACATTACAAAAACTTGAACCTATCCTTCAATAGGTCTGTGATATTTCCTGATTGGCTGAAGGACATGCCAATCAGTGATCGCCTTACCGGCCTACGTTGATCTGACTCATTTTATAAGCTGTACTATTTCCTATAGATCATTTTCCAGACGATTCTGCTATGGTTAGTGTCTGGCCAAAAGCTTCAGCATATATTTATTTTGGTCCAGTTATCAACGCCATTTTCATGTTTTGAACAACTCGACTTTCAAGATCTACGTATCTACATGAGCCGATGTCTCTATTTATGAACGTTATATTTTAAGATCTGTGCAAGAACTCAGCTAACAGATGTTTCCGTATATCAAAGCTAATAAGACTCTTTAATATTAAAAACACGTGACGGTATTTGGTATTTTCAACCTAAAGAACACCTCATATGACACGTGGGATTAATGGCCAAGCTGGCTATCCTTAATTTCCATATGCTGACCAGAGACAAAGGACAACCAAAGAGCAGTATTTTCATCCTACGTGGCTATAATTTAAATCAAAAGTCAGAATCGATGTCACTGTTATTATTTCAACTTTGGGGGCTTTTAGAAGCATATCGTCTCTCGAACCTTTGAGCTTCAGCCCTTATCCTGGCCATTAAACCAGTAACCTACACCTGGCCGTAGCACGTGACAACCACAACAATATAATTTTTAACAACAGAAGTACATCAAAACAATGCAGTCAATTAACATATTGGGAATTCATATAGTCGGATTTATATATAATAGAACTATATAAACGATATTCAAGCTTATAACATCTAGCACTTTCAACGAAGCTTCGAAACTGAATGACTCTTGCGTTGATCATGTATTGTGCAGACCCAGATAGATTAGGTTTACAAGTTGAAAATTTTCGAAAATAGTGTTCTTAAAATTTTTGGTGGTCAAAACTATGCAATGGTATTGAGTGGTATTGTACAAATGTCTCATACCTTAACCTTGGTCTCCCATAGTGTGCGTGTGTATGTATATATCAGACCGACACAATTTTTAATTTTTTCCAAAATTCTGATCTGGAACGTATTAAATTTGGTCGAAGTGACATGCTAAATTTAGCCCCAGGTGTTTCCTTCTTTAGCAGTGTCTGTTTCATGGATTAGTTGTAACCTATACTTTACCTTGAGTGTGTGAAGGACTACTTTGTGACTTGGAACAGACTTCTATTTCTAGTCCAGTTTGTTTTCATTTCTCTTTTTCATTTACATGTAGTTTTTCTTCCATGTACTTCAGGGTTGAATTCAGTGTATCGATTTAAGTCACAATCACATCATTTTGACGATCAACCGGTTTGTATATAATTCTTTTTTTACCGTCATGTTTGTTTCTTTGTTTGTAGTTAAGCACAAAGCTGCACAATGGACTATATGTGCTCTGCCCACCACGGGTATCGAAACCCGGATTCTAGCGTTGTAAGTCCGCAGACATACCGCTGTGCTACTGGGGGTGGGGGGGGGGCTTACCGTTATGAATAGTATTTATTTGTCTGCCTTCGCACCGACGCTGGTCTGTTTTATGCCACCTGGGACAAATTACTACAAGTCACAACCACATCATTTTGACGATCAGCCGATTTGTATTTAATTCTTTTTTTTTTTTTACTGTTATGAATAGTATTTATTTGTCTGCCTTCGCACCGACGCTGGTCTGTTTTATACCACCTGAGACAAATTACTACAAGTCACAACCACATCATTTTGACGATGAGCCGGTTTGTATCTAATTCTTTTGTTACCGTTATGAATAGTCTTTATTTCTTCTACTTTCGCACTGACGCTGGTCTGTTTTATGCCACCTGAGACAAGATACTACACCTATCCTTTTTCAAACCAGGTCCTCGAATCTATGTTTATTGCTGAAATCAGGTAAGTATATGATCGGTTTATCCTTACATTACTATGATTGTGTACAATGTGCAAAGTTGATTTTTCAAGCTGATACAAACTCGCTGGAATTTTTTATGTAGCGTGACAGCCACGTTTCGTAGCATTAACGTGTATTCATACTATATTAAACTTAGAATTAACAAAAAATCCCTCTTTAACTAGGTTTATCTTTCTTGTAACTTATCATATTTTTTTTGGTTGTGTTTACTTTTGGTAATTTATGATGGTTTCGTTTATTTGCTTCCGCGTTTTAGCGCAAAGCTACACAGTGGGCTGTCTGCGCTTTGTCCGCCGCAGGGAATCGAACCCCGAATTTTGGCGTTGTACGTGCGTAAGCTCATCGACGACATATTGGGGAACATGAGCATTTAACTCCGTCCTTGAGATAAGAACAAGTTTTATTTCCTGTGATATTTTCAGTTCACTACAGCAGAATAACTTTTTGTTGTTTTTTGCGGAGAATACACTTAGGAACACATGACAACTCCTAAATAAGGAGTATTCCCAATCACGAAAATATTATATCGTGATGTATTCGTTTGAGTTGCTTTATTGTAATGTTTACAAGAATGGTTTTACCGTTCTGAATACTGTTTGAGTTGCTTTATTGTAATGTTTACAAGAATGGTTTTACCGTTCTGAATACTGTTTGAGTTGCTTTATTGTAATGTTTACAAGAATGGTTTTACCGTTCTGAATACTGTTTGAGTTGCTTTTTTGTAATGTTTCCAAGAATGGTTTTACCGTTCTGAATACTGAAAAATTATTTTTCGACTGAATCTTCAAATACATTTATTTCCCATGGTTTCTTATGTATAAAATTTGAAATATGTGATGACAAAGAGAACAAAATTTGAAATTATCAAAAAAAAAAAAAGCTAAAAGTACATTGAATAAACATTTACTCACGCCTGGCATTATAACTCGTTCAATATCTTTAAAAACTTCTTCCCAGGATTCCCCTTCATCAGGGGCCTGATCAGGGATGAGTTCTAGGATGTAGCCCGGGTGAACATCAGGAACCACTCGTCGATCCCGGATGTTGGAGATGTAGTCTGCTACAAAATCAACCATTTGCTTTCCACAGCGACGAAATTCTTCTGCCTCCATTTCGACGTATTAAATCAACCAACTATTCTGCATAAAATATACAATGAAGTCACTGTATTTTACTATATGCTTTGCAACGCCGTTCACTGAAAAAAACTTAAGTTAGAAAAACCGGTTATTTTACCCGTGGAAAAAAATATACGAGTTATTTTGGCATTTTTGTGAAAAACAAGTTTTGTTATTTACAGTTGACGTAAAAAAATATTAAAACACTAGATATTGAGCATTTTAAAAACTATACTATATAACTTTGAATGTAATGTTAGAGAGCTTAATTAATCACCAGACATAAAAAATAAACCACAGTCAGAGGTAACCAAGGCAATCGGTTGGCAAGTTAATATTTTAGTGGTTAGATAGTTTGACTGTTCAACACAACGAGTGAGACAATAGGAGATCGTTTTATTTAATTCGGTCTGATGTGGAACAGCGGTAGCTTTCGGAACTTACAACGAAAAAATCCGAAGTTCGGTTCCCCGCGGATGACAGAGTTGACATGTTTCTTCCACTTTTTGTGGAAGAAAGGAACTTATTTAACTAAGTGTGAATTTTAAGTTCCGGTAAGGCAAGTTTGAATCTCGATTATCCAAAGATAAAATACTTGTTTTAATATCCATATTCAATGGAACTACAGGTGTTTTGTTTTAATGTATTGTATAAATTATTACATATGAGCTCTTATACCTTCTTCACCCCAGTGATCCATCAAGTCTTTATTTCTCACCAAAACCTGCAAGTCATCTTATCCGTCCCAACGGAATTGAATAGAAAACCCCAAAGATAATGGATAAAACAGCTAATTTTTCGTTTAATTGTGTCCACACAATAATTATTAATTAAGAATTACACATCAATGTGTTGTTTATTCATTAATATTATCATTTTTGCAATTTTAAATTGATAATCAACACGTTTATTATATTTTACATTTTTAGGTGTTATTTTTCAGTCGATAGATGAATTTACTTTCTCAATGCGAACTCACTGTCATAAAAAATGTATACTTAAGCAAAAAGCTACACAAAAAAGTTATTTGCGTTGTGCCCACCGCGGATATAGAACCCCGATTTTTGTAAGCTAAATAGTTTGTTTGTTTTCGAATTTCGCGCAAAGCTACACGAGGGCTATCTGCGCTAGCCGTCCCTAATTTAGCAGTGTAAGACTAGAGGGAAGACAGCTAGTCATCACCACCCACCGCCAACTCTTGGGCTACTCTTTTACCAACGAATAGTGGGATTGGCCGTCACAAATATTGTTATGTTGTGTTGTAGCCTACAGAGTGATCCATGGCATGCGCACATTTTTTACTAACGTCACGATAGTACATATTGCAACTTTAAGCGTCCCTTATGTGACATCATTTTAGTGTCTACTGACTGACTGACAGACAACACATTAGTGGTGCGAGTTGTTAAAACAGGCGATCCCTCCAGGGGGCCTTTGGTCTCCTTTCGAGGAAATAGCTACAGGCTACAAACTAAAGAGTGGAATATAGTAAAAAAGTATTAAAAATTAGCTTATCAAGTGTGTACTATAAGAAAAACACGTTGAAGTGTGAAAATAATTTCAGTTTATTTAGTTTATATCGACTTCGGAGCTGGTTAAAAACTAGTTGCAGCGCTTTAACGTATATATATATATATATATAATGGTCAAGTTTAGATGTTCGTTATTGTACGTGTGTGTTTAGACATTAATGTATGTGATATGTATTCATAATACTCTCTTTATCTGTTCATTCTATATGTGGGTTCATGCGATCGCATTATTTAGTGTGAAACTGACTGGATCCCAGTGCCGTGTATGGTGAGGCTCATGAATACATACATGGTTTTACAATGAGCCTGTGATAAGCTCGCTCTTATCTTCTGTATAGAACTTTCAACAGTCTTTATGTTTCTTGACATCCATATATCCGAAGCTTCTCTTTACGTCACGCAATCACGATTAATACAATATCAGTGAAAGAAAAAATACTTCTGCAGCATACGTTGAGTTTAATCCTTTATAATATACTTAAAACCTCCATAGTCACACAAAAGGCGAAAACAAAACCTCAATTGTATTACTGTTGCATATAAATGCTAAGTGTGTGAGTATTATAATAATATTATATTTAATATGAAAATTTTTTTTTCAGATGACCCACTGGCATTCTCCACATTTTCATTCTTTCTTTCCCACAGCCAACTCTTTCCCTGCCATTTGTGCTGACATCTTAAGTGGGGGTCTGGGCTGTATAGGATTTACGTGGGTAAGTAAACAGTCTGTGTGTTCAGTGTATTAGCTGTTGTTGTTTGTTTTAGAGTAAAGCCACATTGGGCTATCTGCTATGTCTACATCAGAGAACCGAACTCCAGACTTTAGCGTTGTAAGTCCGTAAACTTATCGCTGACCTACTGGAGAACTGATGTGTATGAGAGTAATTGTAATGTATCACTAAGCCCAGTAGTGCTTGGTATGTAGAGAAGGGCCGAGAAAAAATGGCTGCCGCATTCAGTCTATTACTCTATGATGATTACAAGTAACTGTTAAAGTTGAGTTATAGCCTTATTTGAGCACCTAATTACCATTTTCGAGTGTTTCACAACTTGTAAAACTACCAATACCTTTAAAAATTGTTGCTAAAGTGGAGAACTTGGAACTTGCTAAAGAGCCAAAGTGTTCATCTTTCTTTTCCCACTTTAGCCAAAAAAATGTGTGAAGTTTTCGCAATGGCTTCAGTACGACAGAAAAGCACTTTAAGAGCACTTGGGAACACAATAGTGTTTAGTATAAGCTAAAAAAAAATCATAATTCTAGTGTAAACGATGTAAGTTGGTTTATAGTTATGCACAAAGCTACACAATGGGCTATCTGTGCTCTGCCCTCCACG